CTTCGGATCAATTTTGATGCCATCCAGCTCTTTGTTCCGAGCCACAATTATGACATGGTTATAGAAATCACTCTGCCCCACCAGGGAGTAGGAAGTGCTGAAATTATTTGTGGGCAGTATGGTCATAAGGAAGGGATCAAAATACTGTGGTGAATAGTCAGGGCCCCCATTGAATTCAAATAGGACCTGAATACCCTTGTCAGATGTCAAATACATTGCATGTGGCCACTGGGAGTAGAGCTCGAGAGTTTGTCCTCCAAACATAGGGTAACTCTGAACCTTTCCATTAACATTGACAGTTATTTTGGTGGGCTGGGATGCTTGGACGAAAACACTGTCATGTAAATAGGTAAATAATTTATGATAAGGCAGTGGTGCAATGATGAATTCTTTTCCCCAGCTGCTTACAGGAAGAAGTTGTTCATAGACGTGGTTGCAGGCGGTGTACATTTGAACACAACTATGCCCCGAGGAGACAGCAACAGGGAGGCGTGAGACTACTTTAGTACCCCTCAGGTTATCCTGACTCTGTATCTGAACAGTCTCAAATGGCTCTAGCTTTATGGTCATCTTGCTTCCTCTCCTGTAATATTTCCCTTGAAATCTGACAGAGCCCTGAAGGAAAAACTCAACAGAGTTTGGTTCCTTGTGGTTGGTGACAGAAAATTCTTTAAAGGTGTCCGTCTGAGAGCTGGAAGGAGTGAATACGACATACTCAGTCCCCCAGTCCTTCACTGCGTAAACGACAGAGGTGTCTGCTGTGTATTTCTTGAAGTTGAAAGACATCACAGTGACATCTTGGCTAGCCTCGATCAGCACAGTCTGATGGAACTTTTCACTGCCTTTCATCTCTACACTGTCAGGTAGCTTGAATGATACACTCTTACCAGGATCAATTTCCTTCTCATAGATCTCACCCACAGCAGTCACCTTGACCTTGGTGCTGCCTTGTGAAGTGGGAAGAGCTGCAACCTCAACCAAGAAACGAGTATCACTACCATCGTTGCCAAGGTTTTGCATGAAAGACGTGGCAAACTCTCTTCCTGCTGGTAAAGCAGAGCAGAGCCCTGGGAAAGAGAAAAAGTGGGTGTGAAAAATCCAAAAGTACAGCAACATCTGTGATTAAAGAATCTCACATATTTTAGTTTAAGTCAAAGTAGCAAAACAACAGTGTAGAAAAACATTGTTACATATAAAATTCATGCATTCAAAATTTAAACTTAAGAAAAAGTACAAAGGTATTAGCAGAGAAATATACTTCAAATAAAAGTCAAAGTGCTGATTATGTAGAATGTAGTAATGGATATAATATTATTGGAATATAATTATTGATGAATAAATGTGAATCACTTTAATTTTACAGATGTAAGAGTGGAGCTAATTTTAATGACTAGTCAGATCTACACTGCTGCTCACAAGCTGAATTTCTCCCCGGCTGATCATTAAATAATTATCTTATCTTTATCTTACCCTATAATCATATTTTGAATATATTTTGTATACATAATCAGATTCTTAAAATTGTAGAGTACAATATAATATATTGTATTGTATATATAAAAGTACAATATTTGCCTCTAAAATGTAGTGGAATAGTAGTATGAAGTAACAGAAAATGGAGATACTCAAGTACAAGGTCCTCACCATGCAATAAAAATGACAGTTTCCAAAGTTTAAGGTAAACATTTAAATATATAAATATTACATATTAAGTCATACAACGTCTGTATGCTATTTTCTGGGAGAGCTCTTTAATTTAAAACATTTTAGGCATTGCTTTCTTTGACTTACCACTCAGCAGTAAACCCACAAGACAGTGGACCAACCCTTTCATTGTTGAATCTAAAATAATTCAAACACAAAATTAACCATGAGGACAACAGAAAACACACACAGTTTTAGCCTCATCTCACTCTTGAGATTCTAAAAATGAAATAGGTGTATTTGGAAAAATAAAATGATGGTTGATTGTTCAAAGAAATCAGATCACAAGCAGTTTTTTTCTAAAAAAGTTTGTGTTTCTTTCCCCAAAAACATATTCAGAAAATCAGGCAGCACTCCAGTGGTAATTAAACTGTGAAAGCACTATCTCATGTCTGAAATTACAAGTAGCAGAGCAGGGATTTCTGGCTCAATTTCACACCCCTCCAAGTTGAGTGGGGAAGGCCAAAAACTCCAGCAACACTTCTTCACACTTTACAACTAATAAACTGACAAATCAACATAAATTTTTTGGCATGAAGCCTTCATCAGAGCTTCAGTGTTGATAAAGACAAGTTTGTTTCTGAACTAATAAAACAAAAATCAAGCTGTTTTTTTTAGAGATTTGTTTCTGCATCAACCCTCATGGCTGTAGAAAAATTCTCATTAAAATGCATAGTTGTAATATTTGAAAATCAATCTTACCTGAATCAGAAAACCAAGGATCTGAATAAGTGGCATCTCGATTGATGCCCTTTTATTTGTCTTGGTGATGCAGAGAAAGCCAATCAGGGAGGAGGTGTCACGCTACCTGCACAGATGCCAAGTCACCAGCTGACCAGTCACGTGGCAAAATGTACTCTTTGCATGTGGACTTCGGAAGACCTTTCCCAAGGAGCTTGGATACCAAATTACAAAACAAATAACAAAATAAAAATTGGGCTTCAGTAGGGCGACACTTAAACAGTACCTGATGAGAAAAAATTCAAATCAAATGAGTCACTATTTGACAGTTGCAGATTGCATTTGTGATAGCAGTGCACATGTTAAGGGTCATATCTGAAGTCACACCCCAACAACACCTGAAACACAAAAACACACCAATCAAATACTGACGGACACTTATTCATGTTGCCAGAATAAATTGATAAAATATATTAAACAAAGATAAAAAATGCTTCTTATACACGCTGGAAAAATCGATTGTGATCCGATCAATCAACACCTCTTTGACAGCATAATGTGAACCGCAGAAATAATTGTGAGAGAATTGTTTGAATTTTAGGGAGTGAAAAACTAATAAAGTGATTCACTGATTTTCAGCGAGTGCATCCTCCCATCTCATATGTACCAGGTCAAAACATCATTTGTAGATAACAACATGAGACTAGATGTTCAGCATTTTTTGATAAGTGTTAACCATCCTTTGATAACAGAAGGCACACTCAGTAGTTCCGAAAACAAGGTCTGTTGAGTTTTGGGAAAGACATCACAATTTTTTTGTTTATGTGCCATGTTTCTCCCACACTTTATCCAGTCAGCAAATATCACAGACTTTCCATATAAGTGCTCAAGATAAACCTGGGACAGACCTTTTCTACTCCTTACTTCATCTCCCAAAACAAAAAACATCATATTATAAACATTCATGTTTATTATATCTTGTATGAAAAGCGTTGATTGCACATGTTGCACAGTTCAGGCGGACTACAGATTCAGTTTCAGTAGCTTTTAGAAGCAAACTTCATTCATCACAATCCTAAGAAGTGGTTTATCACAATATTTCTCTCTCATCAGATGATGCTCTGATGAAGGCTTTATGCTGAAATGTGTGCAGATTTGCGAGACATTCAGATACTTTACTTAAGTAAAAGAAGAAATACCATATTCCAGGGGTCAGCAACATTTACTATAAAAAGAGCCAAAAAATAAAACACTAATCTGTCTGGAGCCACAAAACATTTTAGCCTTATAATGCTAATTTCTCAATTAGATTAAACATACTGGTAAGCCCGCACTGGTGGTGTAAGCAAACAATCTGTCCAGTGTGTAAGATTTAAGGGCATCTGTAGTTGTAGATTGCAACTCAATTGCTCACCCTTTTTTAAGCACAAGGGTGGCCATGAAACAGTGTTTCATTTGTCTGTTCTGGGCTACTGTAGAAACATGCATCGTGGCCTCCACGGAAGGCAACCCATGGTGTCTGTAGATCAAAACATCTCATTCTAGGTCAACAAAAACATAAAGATTCTTAATTTAAGGTGATTACACTCACCACTAATGAAAACACACCTATGAATGTTATATTACATTTCTGCCAATAAATCCTCCTTGTTTTCTGTTTTCATTACCATAGAATGAGGCTTTTATATCTACAGATGGAGGACTCCATAGAGTCCACCGTGTTGAACCACCATGTTTCTACAGTAACCCAGAACAACAAACCAAACACTAGCTCTAGAAAGGGCCTTTTGCATTTTTCGCAAGTTTTGCGGCCACCATAGTTTCTCCTACACACTTTAAACAGGAGGGTGAGGCAAAGGGGTTGTAATCTGCAACTACACAGCTAGATGCCATTTAATCTCACACTAGTTCTTTAACTCCCTGGGATTTTCTTGTATGGGCTCAAGCTGGTATGTTGATACAGACAAATGTTGGAATACATTTTATGTTTCGGTATTTATTTATTTATTTCATTTCAAAACTGGCACAAAGGCAAACAGTTGAACAAAAAATTGCCCTACTTTAAAATAGTAATTTTTTGGATGTAATCTGTTTGCATGTGGTGGTCTGCTGTCTTCCTGCTCTGTGGAAATCTGTTGTGTTTACTTTAAAAAAAGTTCCTGCTTAGTGGTATTTGCTTTTGACATGTCCACAGGTGTAAGTCCTGGTCCTGGTATTGTTCTTGCTGGTTCACTGTCATGGCTTACTGGGACACTTAAACAGAACTGAGCCCTTGTTTGTGTTACTAGTAACATCTGTGCTGTGCAAAAGGCCTAATAGAACAGTATCATCATGCACTTAGATTAATTATTTGCCCTGTGAGTGCAGACGTTTGAGACCGACCTTGACAAAAGAGCTCCTTGAACAAATTGTTTTGTATGTTGCATACATCAGCAGATATCACTAAAGTTCAAACAAATTTTGTGTTTATCTCGACAGCTGCCAAGCATCCTGTTACCCCCCCATACACACACACACACACTTCCCCTCACCCCATCCAACCCCACTTCCAAGCATTTCACGCCTCCCACAGACTCACTCTCATCGCTCATATAAGCTGGTTCCAGATCCAGTCACAGTATCTTTTATCAACTTGTTGGAGAGAAATCTGCCTTCTGAAAATCTAAGCTCTTGCTAGAAAACCATACAGCTATGATTTGGATCGGAGGCCTCACAGGATTTTGGATAATTGCACTGCTGACTCTTAATAGTGCAAATGTGGGAGGTAATTTCTTCTACGTTCTTTGAGTGTTATATACTTAATGTACTCTTCAAATTGCAATTCTGTTAACGTATGTGTTTCTTGATTTCCACAGAGACCAAAAGAAACTTTCTAAATGAGCCTGACGTCCCTTTCCCACCTGCCCGTCCCACTGCTCAGAACCTCGCTGCCATTTGCTATCAAGGTCAGGGTCGTCCCAGATACCCAGCCAGCTTCTTCCCGAGCTCTGGTGCCAGCCACTTCTGCCGCCGTGGAAAGGCCATCAACCGTTTGGAGTCGTGGTACACGGTGTGCTGCAGTACACTGGCAGCAGAGCAGAGCACCCAGATACTCTGCTGCGCCGAACAAGCTGTGAGTCTCTGTGTTTGTGTTTGTCTGTGTTTGTGGGAGAAAATCCAAAGACAATATATGGACAACGTAACTTTATATTGCAATGTAATAATAATTTCTGTAATGCAATGTAAAAAAACTGCTAGTATAAACATATTTGACCATGTTTCTACCTGCTACACAAATACCAAAAGAACTGGTAGTTTTAAATTATTTTTTTGTTATCTTTTGGCATTTTGGCAATTTTCCTCATATACTCACTTTTTTGTGATTGTCTTTTTCAGAAAACAAACGCAAAATACTTCCAATGATGACTCATATTTCAGAAGAAATAAATATATACAAACTAAGCATGTTCATAGAACCAGATTGAAGAATGTAAATGACAAGATTAATTTAAGTCTTAATTAAAAAACAAGTTAAATTTATGACTTTTTCATGCGAGTATGGGGATAGATAAATGGTGATGGAGAAACAAAATCTTGTCAGCTATGTGCCTCATTTCCTAAAGAATCAGCATCAAAAGATATAATAAGGAGGAAATGTGCTTTTGGTAAACAATCAAATAAATTTTTCTTACAGTGGAAACAAGCCCTGTCCCAGTTCTGTGTGGAGGAATACTCCACCATGACTGTCCCATATGAGTGCTGTGCGGACAGAGGAGAAGCTCAGTGGATGTGCTTTGACAGAGAGCTGCCAAACCCAGACTACTACCCAACACCAGGCTACACTGCACCCCCGGCCCCCCTGGAGCCAGGATTCATCTTCAGTCCAAATGCTTGTTAAAGATATAAAAAGACAACAACAAAGTATGTGCACAGGTCCCATTTGGACAAACCTACATCACATAAAATGTACAAGCTGAAGTAGTAATGTTGTGCAGATCTTTATCACAGATGCTCAGAGGAGGACGGGGCATGCTGGTTGTGTTTCTGCTGCGTAGGGATGATAACAGCTGAAGTCAGGTTTTTGTTTGATAACTCTGTATTTTAACCAAGCTTTGTCACGAGAGCAACACAATTTTCTTAAGTGCAAATGTTTACTGTTGTAACTCAAATGCGTGGATTTCACAGTTACTGACATGTATTCTTTGTTAGAGACAAATGAAAACAATGAAATAAAGACATAAAAGTTCTCACATCTTTCTTTCATTAAACACATAAAGGGCATAACCATGGCCATTGGAGAAACATCAGGTTAGCAGCTTCAATTAAGCTGCTTTGTACCAAGTTCAAGTTCTTCATGTAATAATAATAAAAAAGAAAGAAAATCCAACATGTAATACAACAAGGGTCCACCAGGGGTCCCAGTTTGCTGTAATAGTTGGGTGTGTGACTTATAGATCACTTTGAGTGTGTGTGTGTGCTCCCCAACCTGAACAGACATGTGCAGTAAAAGTCACAAATACATATTGAAATCAAATCTAAACACTGTTTGATTGAGATTATTGCATTGTAAGTCTGACTGTAAGTGAATTAGGAGAGTCATCTGCTCCAAAGAATGGTATTTCCTGTTTCAAAATAAAAGTTGACCATTCTAAATCTACATCAGTAGAAACGCAGTCCATACAAATATCTTACATAAGAGTAATATTTGTGATCATAATATTAAAGGAAATATCATGTGGTATTTGTTCTGATATTTCTATTCCCATTCACACTTGCTGTTAAGGTTAGGGTTAGGGTAAAATGTGCAGAGTATCAAAATGCTGCAGTTACACAGGTATTGTTTTGCAGTAGTGGAATGAAACTGAGAATATTTATTTATTTATTAAACTAAAGTACAATTTGAATTAGTTGTACTTTGCCTGAGTGCTTCCACACATCTATTTAACTATAATTCATAGGAAAATGTGAATATGGCACTTTTAACTCCACTGTATTTATTGAACAGGTATAGTTACTAGTTATTTTAAAGTTTAAGATTCTAAATACACAACTTATTTAAAGACATAATGCTTTGTTATAGATCAAACTACAAAGTTATTATGCTGCTTACATGTTAATGCATTAGTAATAATTCATAAATAAGATCATTCATAGTAACTAATGGGACCCAGTCTCCTGCATAATGGATAACTTTTGATAATTCAAGTCCATTTTTCTGCTAATACCTTTGTACATTTACAGATTAGATCAAAGTATATTTACATTTTGCAGCTTTAACTTGATTCAATAATATAAATACTTTCACTGCTATATTGTGGCACAGTCGCCTTACTTGAGTTATAAGTATTTAAGGCTTCATTTTACAACTCAAAAGCAAAGACTGCTCTTCACCATTTGACAGTTTTTATTCATCATTTGCTAAACAGATCACAATCACTTGAATAGGCTATATTTCAATATTTAACCACACAATAATCAATATATTTTAATATGTTGCACATTAATGTTTTATTTACTACTATTCTTTATACTATATTAGACATAATAATCAACCTATATATGTTTTGTGTTTATTTATGGATGATGTAAACAACAAAGTTAATAAATAGCCGGAGAAGAAAGTAAATAGTTTTCTTGTGACATTATTGTGTTTTATTCTGAAAGAAGCCCTCACCGGAAGTTCTGCTCATTCTCTGAAAACTGCCGCTTCCGCACTGCTTCCTTGTTTATTACTTTTAGGGAAAACAGTAGCTTTAGAAAGATAAAAAGGTTGTTTTTTTCTCCTTCTGTCTCTGAAAACTACAAGAACTCCTCCACAAGATTTCCGAGTGAGTTGACTTGTTTGTTTGTTTGTGTTGTTGTTTGTTGGTTATTAAGCGTCATTCGCTTGGTTGAAGTTAGAAAAGTAAAATCAGAGTTAGCGGCTAGCTGTTCTCGCCCTCTCCGTGTCGTTAAATGTCGCAATCATCTCCTGCAAGCTGGTTACAACACGCTGGTTTTAACATTACAGTTTCCCCAAGTTGCACCATTGAACAAACAGTTGCTGCTGTTGTGCAGAAAGTTGCCATTAAGTGGGGTTTATTTTCAGCTCCTCCATCAGCAGAGCCAGTCAACGTGGCTGTTGTCAATATTTGTGTTGTCATCTGGAAGTTAGTGTTTGCTGTGTAATGAGCTACTTTTTATTTGGTTTTTTTGACACAGATCCCTCAGAGACTTTCACAGAGGGAAGCTGCCATCGTTTGATGTTCAGTAGTGAATCAGGATCTGAGTTTCACTACAACCGAGTCTTGAGTTTCTGGTTTGGATGGCCACAGCTGCAGAGGAGCCTCCAGGGCTGCAGGGCCCCGCAGCCTGTAAGTACTGTATTATTATTAGTATTAGTATAATACATCACCTTCTCCTGAAAGAGATCATATATATATATATTTGACATTAGGCATGGGATGATATGAAAGTTTACGATTATCTTGGCCAAAATTATTGCGATACATGATGTTATCACGATAATCACGAAAATATACTTCGTACTTTTAAAATAGCCGAGCCTTCAGCCATGGGGACGCACTTCAAAAATAAAAACACATTAGAAAAATCAATATAGGACTATATGCCGGCAAGCTTGAAAGCTTTTTCCGGTCAATCCGTGTGACGATATTCACGGTTATCGCGATTCACGATCCGCAATGATATTGTTTATTGTCCCATTCCTATTTGACATAAGTTTGTATGAGTTACTTAAAGTGGTACAAATACATGGACATTGGCTCAAGTTATGGATCCAAGTCAGTTTCAGTTGAATGTCACAATAGAAACAATCTATATTCATAGTTCAATACCCAACCAACTTGATGTCAACGTTGAATTGTTTTTAGTTTTAGGTCTACTGTTTGTTAGTCCAGTCCCTCTATGAATGTTGACCTTATGGTCATATAATATGAAAGTTTATTGAGTTAAACTGAGAGGTGTTCTAATATTTAGTCTCTTATTGAAATAAGAAACACTTTGTGTAAGAGACTGCATTAGTTTTAGCAGAAGGAAATAGAAACGTTTAAGGAAGTTAAAGGAGAAGTAAAGCGAGTTATTTATTGTACGTCCATAAAGTTGTGGGATTCACAAGTAACACATTTAAAAAAGATGAATGAATGCAACCAACACTAAAATATCCTGACTGCTTTTCCCTCTGGTAAGGGTCAACCTCTAAAACGTATATGGATCCTACATTTCCCATAATGCAACAAATATCGTCTTTTTTATTAGACCCTCCTACTAAATGCTTGTGACTTTTAAGCAGCACACACCCAGTTTGTAAGTTTAAGTTTGAAGTCTCTGATATAGAGATTAAAACACTCATTGGCCCTTTATGAACTCACTTTTATAATAATAGCATACTTATTTAATTCCCCCCATTCCACGCAAAGACCTGCAGTGTCAGATCTGGAGGAGACTGTCTTCTCTCAGAGGTAATGAACGAGGTGCGTCTGCATGCTTGTTTCAAAGCTCAGCTGCACTCTTTGTTTTAAGCATTAGGGAGTGGTGGAAGCTGTTTCAAGCTGTGTTGTTTTAATTAATGCATCCAGTTGTAGAACTGCTTTTATTTTAATGCATTACTTATATTCCTCCTTGTGTATTTCTTGTATAACTTGTATGTTCCCTTCCCTTTCTCACTCCAGATTCGCCTGGGACTCGAAAAAATGCTTCTCCGGAGGTGAGAAATAACAGATTTGTTTGAAGGAAATGCGTAATATCAGTTAGGAAACACTTGCTGTGGTCTTCTTAGAGATTACAGATATTTAGCTGACGCATCTGCTATTCCTTCCTCTTTTAAACATGAGAATACGATTTTCCTTGAGTTTATTTAATTTTTTTTTACCTCTTGTAATTCTCCCTTCCACCATGTTTGTATTGACAGAGTCCAAGCACCAGCATGCCTCAGAACATGAAAAAGACTATCGGCCATCGTGGAATTGATCCCACTGGGGAGACTACGTACAAGAAGGTAGGAGATGACGTACATTCACTCACTTAGAGCTACAACTCACATTTATTTTCATCATCTATCAATCTGCCAGTAATTTTCGGGAGAGGCAGATTAACTAAAAAACTGTGTGTCAGTACAGTACTAGTTTGTTATTCGTGTTGACGTGCAGTGTAAGTCAAATTACATGTGAGAATTTAAAAGTGTGCATTATCAGCTGGTTACCTGCCCGTGTGGCATGAAAACGTTAATAAGTTATTCACCAAAGATTTAAACAGCTTTTGTCATTTCATACATGTTTCATGTTTTTCTTCCAGACAACATCATCAGCCCTGAAAGGTGCTATCCAGTTAGGCATCACACACACGGTAGGCAGCTTAAGCCATAAACCTGAAAGAGACGTCCTGCTGCAGGACTTTGAAGTGGTGGAAAGCATCTTCTTTCCCAGGTGAGTCTTTAAAATGATAAAGTAAGAATATGTTGTAAAGATGATTAAATGTTTGCTTCATTTATTGTGTCTGTACTACATTAATAAGTCATATATGTGAGTTAATCCTCTGTCTTTTTACTGGCAGTGAAGGCAGCAACCTAACACCAGCACACCACTATGGCGACTTCAGGTTCAAGACGTACGCCCCAATCGCCTTTCGCTACTTCAGGGAAATGTTTGGCATCCGGCCTGATGACTACATGGTATTCTTGATTACTCAGTATCTGGTATAATCAGAAAACAGCAAAGCTCTGAAGTAAGGGAAAGAGCTGTGAACTTTGAGAAGAAAGGTGTGGTTGGGGAACTGGAAAGAGTGAAACTAGTGAAGCGTGAAATAATGGAAGTGTTGACACACTAGAGGTGGGGCTGCTGACGAGGCACGGACGACTATTGCTTGTCCTGTTTTTATCTGGTCAGTCTGTGTTGTTTGTTTTCCATCACACGTCTAACCACTGTTCTCTGGTTACAGTATTCTCTGTGTAACGACCAATTGATTGAGCTGTCAAACTCCGGGGCCAGTGGATCTCTCTTCTACCTCTCTACTGATGATGAGTACATTATTAAGACAGTGCAGCACAAGGAGGCAGAATTTCTGCAGAAACTGCTTCCGGGATACTTTATGGTAAGATTTGCTCAGGGGCTTTAGGTACAAGATGGTATCTGCAGAATAAATGTGTACCCAAGATGCAAGACCCATCCCTCATAGGATTATTCAGACACATTGACTTTCAACAAACAAAACATTCTGGTATGTTAACCCGCCATCTAATAACAGCGAAACGTAAACAAGATAAACCTTGAACAAATTACTTTCTAAAAGATATCCACATACCAAACATACCAACATACCAACACACAAATCACGGACACAAAACAAGTCCAAATGAATGCTGAAGTTCATAAACAAGTAGTCTACAGTCCAAATACAGTCTAAGGAATGTGTTTCTCCTCGAATGCCATGGTTTTAAAAAGAGATTCCGAAAATGCAAAAACATGATCAAAAATGTATTCCATTAAAGCTCCATTCTCAATACTCAATACAAATCTAAATCATGACTTAAAGGACAGTTTAAATTGAAATTAATTTCAACCTCCATTGAACTCACAATATTCGCAGATTCTTTTATCTTCATATCACCATTAACTGCCAACACAGGCGCATATTTATGAAGTCCCAAAACAACACAAACTGCCCGATTATGGACCTGTTCACTTTCCTGAAATCTTTAGTATCCCCATATTCCTGACACAGGATCTAAAACAGGACAGACACATGTTTGATACAGTTTGGAATATGTTGAATAACCCTCATCTCTGAACAGTTTTGTGTTTTGCCCATAACACCACCCAAACCCCTGCCTGCAGAGTCTGCTAGAACTGAAACACCATATAAAAAAAGACAAGATATTTATATTTATCTGTAAACTTAAGTTGTTTCTCACCCACATAAAACTGAAAACTGCTCCTTTCTCTACCTGGTTTTCGTGCATTCATACACTAAGTCTCCACTTGTTACACCACTCGTTATAATGAAAATATCTCTTGCCAAAGATTTAATTTTGTTTTAACTTCCCTCCTTCCACATTTTCCTTTCCGCAGAACCTGAACCAGAACAGGCGGACCTTATTACCAAAGTTTTATGGACTCTACTGTGTCCAGGCAGCGGGTAAGAACATCCGTATTGTAGTCATGAACAATCTGCTCCCGAGCGCTGTACAAATGCACCTCAAGTATGATCTAAAGGGCTCTACCTACAAGCGACGGGCCTCAGCTAAAGAGAAGGAAAAGGCCGTGCCCACATATAAGGACCTGGATTTCATACAGGACATGCAAGAGGGGCTGCGAATGGAGTTGGATAAGTACAGTGCTGTTTGCAAGACCATCCAGAGAGACTGTCTGGTAAGAACTACAGAACAATGTCTGACATGTGGCTACAAGCATGATAATTTAGCATTCATTTTAGATAAAATGACCATAAACACACTGTCTACTTGTAAAAAAAATTAACCACAAGCTTTACAGTACTTGTGTTCCTTGTTTTCTGTTCAGCTTTTGCAAAGTTTCAAGATTATGGATTACAGCCTCCTGGTTGGAATCCACAATCAAGATCAGGCTTGTCGAGAGCAGGCCAGCGAAGAGGCAGTGGCTGCAGCTGCGGACCAAAGGAGGCCACAGGGCCAAAAGTCCCTGTACAGCACTGCTATAGAGGCCATTCAGGCTGACGCAGGGAGCAAGGGATCAACAGACACGGAAGACAAGTGAGTGACAGTGTTACTAGGGCTATAGAGAGTTCATGTCTGAGACAACTTCCTTGTTACAGTTTTTGTCACCACAAAGAACTGTTTACTGAGAGGAATGACAGAGCACTAAATTATATTTCTTTTTGTTTCATTTTACAGAACTGGAGGCATCCCAGCACGAAACTCAAAAGGCGAGAGGCTGCTGGTGTATATTGGTATCATTGACATTCTGCAGTCCTATAGGTAAACAGTATACATTTTTTTTTATAGCAGAGCGGCAGCAGCTTAAGTTCTCTGTGTCTACTCAGGATGTGTTCGGGCACAGTAGTGAGTGTAGGTCACCCTTGTTTTGACAGCACTAAGAACCAAGCACACGATCAGTTTAGTCACACGTGTAACACAAAATAAAATGCACTGGAACCTTAAAAATATGCTTTGGGTCACATTTATGTGTGTGTACTGTAGCCGTTACGCTGCCTGTGAGGACAGCTTCATTGATTAAAATAGGAGCACATCTGTTCCATCAAGCACGCTTGAGATGAACGACTAAAATACACAGCTGAAATGCCTCCTGTGTTGACCAGCTGTTACAATACCTCAAGGAATGGACCAGTCATAGCAAATGCTTGTACTGTACAGTTAGATTTGACAGAAAAAGCTCCAGAGCTTGCAACAATCTTAATAATAAACATGGAGCACGTTAGAAGAAGGTTGTGATGCTGCAGCAGCAAATGCTGTTAGCATGAGAGTATGGCTGCACTGTCCCACTTCATGAATATGATCGGATGTTTCTTCAGATCACAATGATAAAGTTTAAAGTGGATGTCAGTTTAATGTTTTTGCTTTTTGTTATATGGAGCCAAATATGTTTGATCGTTTAACTTCAATAAGTAATCCAGGCTCTATGTTTTTGTTTTTTTTAGATTTGTAAAGAGGCTTGAACACTCATGGAAGGCTCTGGTTCATGATGGGGTACGGTACCTCTACTAGCCTCAGTTAAATGTGTTTTAAATGAAATGATATATATACATAACCCCCTGTAATCATTCCTTTTACTTCAGGATACTGTATCGGTACACAGACCTGGTTTCTATGCAGAACGATTTCAAAGATTCATGTGCACTGTAGTCTTCAAGAAGATCTCATGTAAGTACGATATATCTATGTGTGCATGAATACATAGGGCTTTATTTTTGTGAACCTTGGGCTGCAGCACAGATCACAGTTGAGTGCACCCTGCTCACTGTTTAATCTCAATACTGTGGCTAAAGATTTTGAAATAACTCTCTTGTTTCTGGGAACACCTCAAACAGTCTTTTATCACATGATGTTGGTTATTGAAGCCACAAATCCACCTGTATTGTAATCAGAAATGTCGAGCTCACTTTGGTCATACTCAAAAAAGATGACGCACAGCCGTTGCCCTGTTTATCTAATGTTTTGGAGACACAGGCAGGAACGGATGCTCTGAGGGAGTTATTATAGAGAGAAGTTTTAATTGATTTTTCCATGGGACTGTGTGTTTTTAATGTGTCAGCCCCCTCACACCTGCTGATTTACAGTGCATTATAAACTGTGTAGAAGAATAAACTCTAACAACAACGTTTATCTGCAGAGAAGCATAAGGGTTTCTGTGGTTGTTTTGCTTGTTGCACAAAATTTAACCGGTGGATATGCTGTACGTAATTGTGGCTTGATAGTGCACAACATCACTCAAATTAGAGACTGCAGATGAGACTGATATCTGCTGCCTTCATAGGCTGCAAAGAGAGTTACCAGTGTAAAGGAAGGGCTGTCAGTACAGGATTGCAGAGCGAGTAAGAATCACTCATTAATCCTTATTCTGTGTGGCTGGCATTAAAACCACCAAAGTCCATGAAATCACCTCAGTGTGCACCATGAAAATGCCAGTTCACCAGTGTGATAAAGACACCAAAATTGAGTCCATAATGTCAGTCTCACTTTATGGCCTCTTAATTAACACTTTTCCTTTTGTGTCTAGTAAAGACCTCCCCATCTAAAAAGCGCCGTGCAGCGGCACATGTTCCTTTGAAGAAGACTGCTGGTCAAGTCAGCTCTGAGTCCAAAGACGGTGAAGGAGACAAAGGTAAGAACTGGAAATACAATTTAAAAATTCAGCTTGAGGGCTGAAGACAAATTTTGTTGACTGATAACTGCAGAGATTCAGTCTTCCAGCATGTACCAGCATGTGAAGTGCTTCTTTCACCGCAACGGTTTTTCCTCCCTTCCCACCCAGTCATCCAGTCAGGTCGTCCTGACCTCCTCCCAAAAGCCTTACCGCCCAGAGACGCTTCTGGCAACTCTACTGAAACCGCCGTCTCCTCCTCCTTGGGAAAGCCTGGACTTGCTCCCACAAGTCAGCCTCCTTCTGACTCTCAGGATACCAGCAGGTCAGTGGGAGTGGATTTAAACAACACGTTGAGCAACGAGGAGGAGCACAGCACCCCCAAGAGGTAAGAGGGGAAAGTAAACATGAAGATGAGTATTTTAATGAGTGATCCTCAGTAGTAGTATATATACATAATAAAATGCATTTGGTACTGTAATGTCTTAGTTTAGTAATGAAAATAATTGTTGCCCTACTGAAGGAACCCATTATGGTGAATGAGGCATTTCATTTTCTACAGGATCTTGACTTTGGTTTGAGCCTCAAAAAGAACTTCCTTTTACTCTGTATGCAAATCCCACCTTTAACTCAATCTATAACCTACGTGCTCCTATTTCACTGGTTTATCTTTTGTGGGTTGTACACAGACTGTGAGTAAAGGCTGCCTGAGAGTGTAAACTAAAAATGTCCCTTAACAGGAAAATCAGCATGTGTTAAGGCAGTGCAGCATCTTTTAGATTCTCCATCTAGTGGCAGACAGCAGAAAGCATGTCATGCAATGTATAATATGTAACATTTAAACACATGTAATGGTTAAAGATTACCAGACCTGTGTTATATATTTTGTTGAGTTGTGTACTTACATTATCCCAAATGTTGCCAACAATGTTCAAACCCAGAGAAATCCATAATGTTATTCCAGGTAACAGTTTCAATGGGTCGCCTGTCATATCCCAGTTAGCCCCTCTGCTTGCTGTAACTTCTGGGGAAACACGGGATACCTTACTTTGTCCGTGAACAGAATTCTGCCCGAGTCACATTAGATAGACTTTCATCAGCAGCAGTGGTTGTTTAACGATGCAGACAACAACTCCCATGATTCCACACTACTTCACGATGTCATCAAACTATATCTTTTTGTTATTTGTTTGATGTGAGAGACCCCTAGTAATTACATACTGTGTGTAAATCATTGTTCTTTTTAAGGAAAAAAGCTTAAAAGCTTGTTTAAAAAATGGGTAACATTTTGAGAAGTATGAATAGTTTTGCACATTACACACAAACACTGTTTCATTTTGTATGAAGGTCCAATTAATTTACACTGCTCCTTTTGTTGCTTGCAGAGTTCAGTTTGGGACTCCTGAAGAAAGTATCGGCGGTGAGGACGTGATCTCCCTCAGTGACATTGTTCCTAATGCAAGCAAATGCTCTGTAAGTTGATAGAATTTCTCTTTTTCTTGTTAACTTCTGTGGAGTGGTTTTCTTAACCAGTTTCATTTCCTTTGATTTACAGGTGTGAGAAGGATAAACGGAGCGTAATCAACTAAGACAAACATGGAGGATGTTATTAACGTGGTTGAAATGTTACAACCCCTTGGTGTGATTTGAGGTACCACAACTGCAAAAGTTATAATGCATCAGCGAGACCAAGTGGGATATTTAAATGCTTTTTTGTTTTTGTTTTTGCACTTTGATTTCCAAATCTCAACATGGTATGAGCACGTAAGTAGGTGGTTGTGTTCCGACACTAGTAATTGCAGGTACATTAATGCTGTGGTTATTGAACACTATTATTCATCTCGTAGGAATGCTTCTAGATGGTTCTTGGCACATATGTGCTTGAATATTCGTTCGATTCGGTGAGGAATGTAACATGATGAGTTTATCAAACTTATTGTCTTCTTGGAATTAATTCCTCTTTTTTTTTTTTACCAAAATGCTGTAGCACATCCCCATGCATTCGTTGCTCTGCAAGTGTCTGGGCCCATATAGCCTTTCTGTTATATGTTTGACTTGGATGCTTTAACACAAGACCATATTATGTGAATTGGGAACGCAGTTTTAAATAAAAGGGTTTATTTTTTTAAAGAAGTCACTGTTATAAGCTGACAATTTTTAAGCTTATTCTGAATGCAAATTATGCTGGAAAAAGAAGTGATCCTCAGCTTTCAGTTTTTATTTAAAGGTTATATATAAAAGATTTAAAACATTAATATAGCAGCAAACAACTATCTGCTACACAAATATATAGATGGTGTCCTGAGCAGAGAATGACGTCACACTCTCTTCTCCTTTGTCGTTATCGCAGCCTCTCTGTGCTTCATTTTTATTTGCTTTAACTACCTGGCCGTGCATGTATGTTAGTTTTTAACTGAGGGAGAGACTGAAACTGCTGTTTTTCTCATCTATGTTGGTGAATTAAGGATTTATTTTGACTTATTGGTGATCGTTGGAACAGTGGAAAAACTAACAAAGACGGTTTTGGTGAATTTTACTTTGTTTCAGTCTAGTTTGAAGTGTGTTTAACAATTTAAAATTACTGGTTTTGTCAATAGAGTCTGGCGTGCACAGTGCCCATTGTTTTGGCTCAAGATGCTGGCAACATCTTCTAGCAAGTGAATTTTGTAGATATAACCTTTAACCAGCTGTTCCAATGGTCCTTTTAAAGACTGTGAATCCTAAATGTCATCTCTCATGTTCCGGTTGAAGGGTTATTTTAAAAGGAGTTTTTTTTAATACTTATATACCGTATGATCTGATATCAGTTTCAGGTTTAGTGTTTAGACGGAACAAACGGTGACCTGGGGCCTGTCTCATGAAGCAAGACTAGTGAGATAGTCAGAGTTTGGAGTGAACCTTGTTCTTTTTTTATAGTTCTCTTGCCACGATGGCAACTAAAGCACCAGATCAAACCAGCAAGGAGCAGTTTGTGTTTTAAGGCTTTTTATGTGGATCATTATGTCCAAAAGAACCACCTGCTTACCAATCAATTGTTAGTAAATGTAATCACCATTCTTACAGTATCCCAATGAACAAAACCACAGTGTTCACATTAAAGTGGTATGTACCAAAGAGCATAGCATGACATTATTATTATCATTATTATGATCATTATTATTATTATTATTTCCATGGACACATTGATATGGCACTATCATAAATAACAAGAGGTCATTGGCATTTATTCAAAGCATCTGAAACCAGCCCTCATTAATATCATCCAACTACAGCACTGGCAGTTTCAGACAGGGTCCAGTACAACCTGCGCCACCTAAAGGCAAGACAACAGCAACACCTTGAGCAGTTTTAACTCAGGTTACAGCCAATACATGTTAGAACTGTCCTTTTTTGTTGTTTTTTTGTGTGTAAGTACCGGTATGTTTATGTGTATTGCTGTTTTATATTTTACATTTTAAGCACACAAAAAGTCAACATATTTTGTCGAATAGAGTAGAAATACTTTACCGATTGTATTCGTCCAAAGAAACAAACTAGGGTAGGATGCAAAGGAAAAAAGGCAAATTAGCAATGTCGGTTGGGAGGAGTTTTAAATTTGCTGCTGAATATTTGAACAAACTCGGGTGGAACTGCATCTTCTTTGTATTTGTATGTACACTTTTCCACTATATGCAGTAGTCTGCTGCTAATCTATTATTTTCCACTCTAGGCTACTCATACTATATGTTCACACTGATTTATTATGCAATGCTATTTGATAGTGATATTATTTTAAGCTTTTTGTATACCCGTTTCTGCTTTTTATATTCAAGTGGTGAATTTAGTATTTCCTAAAAAAATACTCATGTTATATTAATGATAATGTTGGTATATTTTGTTGACCATCTCTTATTAACTTCACTTTTGTGGATTTGTTCATGTTGCATGTGCCAGGATTAACAGAGCCAGTTTTGTGAGCTTTGTGAGACATGGTTATTCACAATTGTCAACTTAGATAGATATTTTTGAGACAGGCCCCAACTCTTATATAGTTGCTCTTTTTTCATTAGCAAAACATGGCAATTGCTACCTGGTGGGTAAAAGTATAAAACTGTTCGTCTGCTTTTTATTAACTCAAACTGGTAGACTTAGTATTAGTATTGTTGGTTCAATTCAAGTTGGTTTTAGCACTCAAAACAGGTGTGCAGTGTTTTAACTTGATGTTATCACTTTAACTTGCCAAGTTTTACAGAATTGTTTGATATTTGAAAATTAATTTGAATTTAAAAGTCTTGAAAGATGCTTCGATTATGCAACCAAAGTCTTTGTTCACTCCATATTCAATTTCCCAACCAAGATAAGATGAACAAGCACGATTTGGGCATTTTTATACATCCTGTAAATGGTTTATAGTGGTTACTTTATTCTGTTGCCTGATAAAAGGCAATGCTTGTTCGAATATTTAAAGTGAAACTGTGACTTATTGTAAAAACTCAGAAGCAGTTACACACGCAGCCTATGAACCAAACATGTAAATAGTCATATGTATTATAGTATTTATTACTGTATATGTCGCTCTGGTTTCGGAAATGTTTATCAATGGTAATGATGGATTTAAAATGTGCCTTTTTCTCGCACAACAAACTAAGGCATGTAACTCTGAAAGAGTGTTTCCTTTGTTCTTTGTGAGGATTTTCATTATTACGATAACAATTGTTAAATCGTTTTTTTTTCTTCCCTGTATACTTTTGTTAATTGCCTTTGAATTATATAAATGTGTGCACATCTGTATACAAGAATCACAACAATGCCTTTTCACAGAATATGTATTGAGAAGTTTTCTCTCTTGCTCCATTGGGAATATCATGTTTTTTGTACACTTGTACCTGAAGTTATTAAAGAAAAAAGACATGTTGCTTTTGTTTGATTATATTGCGTTAAACAGATCAACTTATTATGTCTAATAGTGTTATGCAATATGACTGCGATACACACCGTAAGACAACCTTCAGGCATTTTAACTGTTAATAATGAGGATAGCTATCCCTTTTATATTTCTTATTGTATGACACCCTTGTAGTGTTGCAGATTAATAAACATGAATGGTTTGTGGAACGTATTGATTTTATTTTGATTTTTGCATTCATAAAATGAAGTACCTGGACTTGTCAGGTATTCAAATTACAGAATTTGCCAAAAAAGACACCTGCCTGGTTGTTTATCCATGAACAACTTCTCATATCGAGACCTACTTTATGTTGATATTGCAATATAAAATTAAAGACGTAAAAACCTATGATAAGGATTTCAAAAGAGTAAAATAAACTAGAATAATAGCATTTTTCTGAAGAAAATGTGTGGGATTGTTGCATCAGCTGCTGCTGCTCACCAGCCCAGCTTTTGAAAGAGTCCCAGCAAGATGTCTGAAGATATCACCTAAAATTGGTGGTGATTGAATAATGCATTCAAGACATATAGTAATGGTTCATGAATGGCCATATGGTAGAGCAATTGGAGCATTGCTTTGTCTGGACCCACATAATCCAGGAAATAGAAATATGTGTATGCTTACATTGTCAAATAAAACCTTCCAATTCAATGTCATGCTGACATAAAATCCCAAAACCAAGACTCTTAAAGTGTAACAAGATCTCCAGGGTTGTGTAAATAGTGAATGCATTTGTATTTGATGACCTGTGAATGAGAACAAGTTGGTGTTTTCATCCCTCACACTTCTGACCTTCCTTCATTATTGTAAATGTCCTATATTATCAGCAGTAGCCTACTGTAATATCTCTAGTCATTACTGTGACTCATTTTGATCACTATTTCCACTACAAAAGAATCAAGGGACTTCATTTTATATATTGGGCCACTGGGATACGGTTAATGCAATGCAAAGACAGCAATGGTTGACCATGATGCAATGAATGAACCTTTTTCACAGTAGCCACTTCAACATGAAATAGTAGGGTAAACAAAGGTGTTACAAGTTACACTAATAAGGTTCCATTTGCCCTATTATTTCATGTCAAAATGGCTGCTTTGAAAAAAAGTCTATTAGTTGAAAGTAATAAATATCTAGCGATTGACATATTATGATGAATATGACACCAATTTAAAAAATAAATTTGAGCAATTAGCAGAAAGCACTTGACATGTATTGTTTAGCAGAAAGTAATGAATATGAAGCCTGCTGACCGCTGAAATAAACCACAAACCGTTGCTGGATATGCAGAAAACTGAGGTGATCTGAAAGCTCAAATGCACTGAACTGTTGAAAAAGCTGGAAGCTGAAATGTAAAACTGGCAGACCTAAAAGCCGAACTGCATTCCCCCAAGAAGTCAAGCGCTGAAATACATTTGCTATAAAAGCTGGAAGCTAAACTGGAATACTGTCAAAGCTGGAAGATGAAATGCATTGCCTTAAAAGCCTGGAAGATGAAATGGTTAAACTACTAAACTGAACTACTGAACGCATGTTATTGCCTGAAAGGACGGAGGCTGAATGGCACTGCACCAGAAAATCTAAAAGATAGCAAAAAAAAAATAAACACAAGTTTAATAGGTGTGACCAGAAAGTTTAAATGTAATCTGTAGCTGAAAGTATCTGTGAAGAGTAAAATAAAGGTGGAGCAGGTCTGAAGACAATTTAAAGATATTTCCCACTCTCATTGTAATTTATGTTTTAAAAAGCTTCATATTATATATATATATATATTAATATATTAATATGTATATATATATTAATATATTAATAT